TGATAGGTGCTGGGGGGGCCATGTACTGTTGGGGGGCATATACCAAGGGGGAGGGGGATTTTGAGGGAGGCAAGGGGACTCCAGAGGGTGCCTGCCCCTTTTGTGGGCACTGGGGTTCCCTGTGAGGGAGGGGCTGCAGCTTGCAGGGGTCCCTCTGGGGTGTTGGCGCAGTGATGGGGGTGTTTGGGGTTTGCAGTGGGGGAGGGGTGGCTGTTGACCAGGGGTTGGGGCACTGAGAGCGCAGCATAGGGATCTCCGGGGGTGGGGAGCCCGGAAACTCCTCGGTGGCGGGGGGGCGGTTTCAGGGTGTCAGGGGAATGGGTGTTGGGAGCGCAGGGGTCATTCTCGGAGGTATTGTTCGCCCTGGGCTGGTTAATCCATTTACGAGGCTCTTATCAGCCGCGGCTCTGCTGGGGGAGAATTGCCAGCTCCAGCTCAGGCTGGTTGGGCCTTCAGGGTCTCTCTATCAACAACAGGCTACTCCAGCTTTGAAATATCCAGGGGGAGGAAGAGTTAAAAGTTGCCCTGATTATTTTGGCTTCTAGTGAATTGATGGGCAGAGCTTTTTTTTTAAAGTACAGGGATTGATGGGGCAGTGGAGATTTGAACCTTTCAGGTTGAAAGAGATTTAAAATATTGGGATATCGATATCCCCTCACCCTCCCCCCCTCCTCCATAATCTCCAGGAGGTCAGCTTATTTGGCGGAGTTAAACATTGGCAGCGACTGCGGCTTCAGCAGTTGGGTGCTGTGCTGTGAATTCAGGCTGCTCGTTCCTTAATTTTAATTTGTTTTTGGAGACGGTGACATGCTCTGTCTTCCCTTGCACCGTCGACTTCCCCTCCTCCTCGTAGCTCTACCTCATCAAAGCATAGGGCTCAAACAGGAAACTTTATTGAGGAAGTCTAAATCTGAAATGTTTGATCATCTCTAAGAAGGGCTGATCGTAAGCACCCATTGACAGATTCATTTCCTCATAGAAACCGAGTGTAAGCTGGGTGCTGTCTCTGCCACTGTTCACAAAGGACTCTATAATCAGATTGTGGGCTAGTTCTGGCCGCCAGATATATCTTTCAGCCCGCATAGGCGCATACTCCTCCAATTGTTGGACAGCTTCAGCACCCTTTTGAAGTTGCACCACAGACAATAGGCTGTTTTGTGTTTACTTCCTGTATCTCAGAATATTCTTGGAAACATGAAACGACTGTATCTTGACTTCACGCTGTATGAGCAGGCAGGGTGCACAAAGGTAGTTTTTAACGTAGGCTTCCTCCCCCTAACAAAATTAAAATCAGATGTGCATTCTTGAGTGAGAATCAGGAGCTGGGGCTTTTTTTTTTTTCTTCCCCTCTTGCTGGTACATCATCTGGGCGAGCTTGGCAGCTTGTGTATTTTGGCACTGGGGCTTGTCTGGTAACAGAAGACAAACTGTTTGGCTTGTTTTGTCTGTCTTGTGGTCCTGTCTTGCTGTAAGTGGCAGGGCACAAGAGAAGCAAATATTATAGGCTGAGATTATGCATTGCAGTGTGAAGCTGGGTGGCAGCCCTAGATCCCTCTGGCTGCTTGTAGTTTGGATTTTGGGGGTGCCATGGCTGGGAGTCGGGGGAGGACTTGAGGCTTGTGGGATCCACTTAGGGTAAAGGAGAGTTGTGCTGCCAGGAATGAGACTGATGATGGAAACAAGCAACATCTCTCTCTCTCTCTCTTTCACAGCCAGCAGGAGGGTGAAAATGAAAGCAGGCTGCAGCATTGTGGATAAGCCAGAAGGAGGAGGAGGTAAGCGGCAGTGTCTAGCCTGAAATTCTGCACCCTGGGACCTCTCATGGCCTGATTTGCACTTATGCTAAGACTCTTTGACATGGTTCTGGCAGCACAAATAAGCCTTAAATTGGGCTACTGGAGCAGTGTGTACATGGGAATCAATCTGAATATCAGCTGGCACCTGGATTAGAGATGAGGTCTGATGTCCTATGATTTCTGCATTTAGATTCCCCTAAAGCAGTTACTGGATAAGTTCTCAATAAATTATCTGGTGAACCTTACAGGGTATGTGATATCTCAGCTTGATTCCAGGCTGGCGTATAACTGCTTTCAACCATTACTATCTAATACAGTGGAGACATAGATGCCATTCAAGCATAACATGGTTTGGCCTAGCACATTTCACAAGCCAACCAAAACCTTGTCAGTGATTCAGGAAGCCCCAGTAGCAACAGTTGTGCTGGAACCCTGTGCTGGCATGGCCAGCCTTGGCAGCAGTTCAGAAACACGGCAGCCTGCCCAAAGTCATGGCAGGGGAGAGTCTGACTTCAAGGCTCACTAGAACCAGTTGGGTCACTCATGTGGGTACTTTATTTTGGATGCTCACCTTCAAAAACTGTGGTCATGTCTCAAGTTTTTGGGCTTTTCTCCAATGTTTCCAGCTCTTTTAGTCCCTTATATTTTTGTATCTTCTGTTCAGTTTTGCAGTTTGTTTTTCAACTTTGCAGTACGAAACGGTTCCAGCCAGTGGTCTGGATTCCTAGGCACCAGGCCAGTAATAATATCCACCATCTGTCTGTTAGACCCTAACCAAGATAAGAGACCTCTAGTAGTAGAACATGTACAAACAGCAAAAGACACCCCTTGTTAAAGAGCTTGAAGATGTTGGGTTCTGATCCCAGACCAAACTAGCAGCACATTCTTTTCTCTGAGTTTCTCATTCGTTCCCTCTTGCTTTCGGTGCTTTTCAAGGCTATCACTTCCCGGAGTGGGCCTACAAGACTGAGTCCAGCCCTGGCTCCCGTCAGATTCAGCTGTGGCATTTCATCTTGGAGCTCCTGCAGAAGGAGGAGTTCCGCCATGTCATTGCTTGGCAGCAGGGTGAATATGGAGAGTTCGTGATCAAGGACCCCGACGAGGTGGCACGGCTGTGGGGCCGGAGGAAATGCAAGCCCCAGATGAACTATGACAAGCTGAGCCGGGCACTCAGGTGAGTGGAAGCAGGCATCAAAATGGTCATTAACTAGAGCAGTGGAGGTTTTTGGGCATGGATAACCAGAAGACTTAGTTAATCCATATAGAACATGAATTATGGGGATTGCCTTAATCTCCCTGTCTCAGTTGTCCCTGGAGAGCTTTGGCTCTGAGTTTGGTTTGTATCTGGGAAAGGCTGGGAATATTTCCAAGTAGCTATGACCTGACAAACTAGTTTTGTCCCCAGCTGTGGCAGGCAAGGAGGTAAATTTCCCCTGATAAGCTGAAGATTGTTGTAATCGGGATTAATTTGTTCCAGGGAGTTTTGCTGCCTCTCTTCTCTTCCTCCATTGTTGATGCCTCCTGAGCAGCGTAGGTGTGGGAGGAAACCTTAGGTGTGCTCCATTATCTCTCCATCAGCGATTAATTTCAGAGAAAGCAACTCCCCTCTCCAGTGTAAATGTTTCTTGTGCCAAACTAGGGTGAAGAGCCAGGGTTCCTTTCCAGCCCCCAGTCAGTCATTTTACAGTGTTCCTATTTCCACCTACAGTTATGCAAATGTTGCCCATCTAGTATTTATAAGTTTCTGTGTAGCAAAGAATTCAATAGATCAGCTCTGCTGCATTCTCTTTAGCAGCTCTAAACTATTTTGGAGCCCTACAGCTGGTGTCAGAAGTCCTGCTATCCTCATGAGAGATCACTCACAGGTCAGAGATGCTATGCAGCCAGCAGCTCCTTTGTTTAGAAACATCTGACACAGTGACAAGGGCTCGATCAGCTGACAGCCTGTCCTCGATAGCGCCAAATCTCACAGTGAAGTTCCCCCCAGCTTTATTTATCCTCATCAAGTGTTTTTTCAATCACCCCTTTGTAGTTTGAAGGGAAAGTAACCAGAAATGGATGTAGTCCTGTGGGAAAGCACAGTTTAGCAAGGGCTGTCATTATAAAAATGACTTTGGGTTCCTTTGCAAGAGGCTGTGGTGTTCCCGACGTTGCCAATTATATGGACCTCTCTGCCATGTGCCCTCTGATCCCTCCTGGGTGGGGCAGGCAGAAGATAAACAAGGCAGCAAACACAACAGGCTCATAATGGAACAGGAAGGAAACAATAAATCGAATGGCACCAACACTGTAATTGATGTATGGGAGTGGGAGGGACTCCACCTGCCAGATCTGGCTGTGCTTGGTGCCTCCGTCACACGGAAGACAGCAGAGAAGTGAGATTAATCAGTGCTGCTGGCCTGAGTCTCTGCCTTGAGTAGGAGCTTTAGTCTTCCTGCTCCTACCTGGAGCCACAGCTGCTTGATTTCACCTTGTCTGTGCCAGTGGGAAGAGCAGGCAACCTGCCTTTTAAAGAAGGGGTGGTGGGACCAAATAGTGTGCTACATCTCTGCACATTCCACATTACTGAAAGAATAAAAACCAGAGGTGGCCTGGGTGTAAACAGTTGTGGCTCCTCTTCCAGGTGCATGGAGGTTACTTGAGTCCTGGCTTCTGTTCTCAATCCCACTGCATCCCTGTAGCCATTATTGCTATGGCTTATGTAGTAGTACACCAGTAATGCAGTGCATGGTTGGTTGCCTCCAGTGTGATTTAGCAGCTGGAAATTAAGAGCTTGTGCAACCAGGCTCCTCTCTGTGAACTGTTAATGAGCCTTCTGGGGACCCTGGGACAGGGCTCTCTGCCTTGGGAGAGTGTCACTTGATCTAACAATGTGGGAGACACTGTAGCCTTGTAGGGAGCATATCAGACAAACACATGGGCCTGCTGGGTTGGTTACCTTGGACAAGTGATTTCTCTTCTGTCTGCCTTTTTTTTGATACCATACCCTTTGTGCCAGTGCTGAGTTTCTCCAGAGCTGTTGGGGCTGCTGCCGAGAAGGACCCAGGTGCCAGCTGGGCACATTTGACCAGCCTCCATTGTCTTGTGCTTCTCTTCTTCCTCACGTTCTGAGTGATCATATCTCTCTGTAGACAAGCAAGACGTGCACGTGGCAGACACTGGGTGGTCTGTAGCCTGGTGTAAGCATCAGAAATGGGGCTGCCTTTGCTCAGGTGGGCAGGCATCCTAATAGCCTTACATTTTTTACCCTTTCTTCCAACAGATACTATTACAACAAACGGATTCTTCACAAGACAAAGGGCAAGAGGTTCACCTACAAGTTCAACTTCAACAAGCTGGTGATGCCCAACTACCCGTTCATTAACATACGGCCCAACGGTAAGCTGGTCCCTGGGCTCTGGCAGACGTTAATCGGTGCTGGAGACTGGGTGCACTGGGTGCACGTGGAATGCTGGTAAAGACAATAGGGCAGGTGGGAAGATAAAGCCAGCTGGGCAATTTATGCAGGTTCACCTCTCGGGGATCTCTAGCTTGAAAGACTGGGCCCAAGCAATCAGTGCTAATGTGGTGGGAATGTGTGGACTGTGATAACGCTTTATCTGGAATGCCCCTTCCCTCTCTTTGTCACAAGCTCATTTGTGGTTGCCTTCAGGGCAGGCTCGTGGCATTCTGGTTTCCTATTGAGCAGGCTCCCTGAGATGTCCTTATTGGATGCGGCAGATTTGCTTTGCTCCCAATGTTACTGGGGTGTGTTGCCCTTCTGATAATGGAGGGGTTTAGTTATATTGCCAAGGACCTTGTCTTACGTGTTTGCAAAGCACGGAGTGTATTTACAGCACCATGTGACCTTTCTCGCTGAGGGGCCCAGAGGTCTGCGGGCATGGGTGCGTGCGAATGTTATCAAAATGTTCACAACCTAATGACAGTGGCAGAGCTCTCTGCTCTTGTGAAGATCAGTTCAAACAGCTCTTATGCCACCAACAGCCTGGTTTCATGGCTCTCCCACCCCTTTGATGTCAAGCTGAACAAATTCTTTGCTACGTTGCTTTGGTTTTTAGGGTAATTTACTAGCGAGTGCAGTTCAGAGCAGTTTCCAGGGATGGATATGAACTGTGTCATGGGTTTGAAGGGTGGCACAGGAGCTTCTGAACTCCTGCTATGACCCAAATCCACAGTGATTCACAAAAAGCATCAGTTTTGGCCAGTAGCATGTCCTCAGCACAGTCTCCTGGATAAAAGTCACTCCAGGGTGGTAGCTAGCACTTATGCTAAAGGCAAGTCCACCCTGTATGAGCTAGAAACCCCTGAATCCATTTTATATGACCCTAGATTCTGACCTAAAGGAGCACTGATGTTGAAGGGTGAGTGCCCAGGGCTGGGCTGGGCTGGGCTGGGCTGGGGGCCACAGTTGCCTCTGAGAAACTGGCTGTGGCCAGCAAGGCACTTTGGGAAGCCACTGAATGCCGGTCTGAGGCAACAGATCACCTTCCTGTAAGAACCAGCTCAGTGGAGACCCAGGGCTGCCTGTGCTCAGAGTACTCCCAAAGAAGCCTTTGGGAGTAGCTGCCAAGTAGAAAGGGGGTGCAGGAGCTGAGCATTGATACCAAGGCACTGGCACCTCAGCAAAGCTGGCAGGGCTCGCGTTCCAGGAGAAGGATGTTTGTCATCCTTGTTGTAGTTCTCTCTTCCTAGATACTGTGATAACAGAACACTTCATAATACCTCGAGCGAGCTTGGCACCGCACCTGTCATGTGTCTCACTCCTTGGCTGACTCAAGTTGCACCAGGAAACTTTAGCCCTGAAAGAAAATAAATGGGTTTCAAAGAGACGGTCCTTCAAGCACTTGCTTGCTTGTGAACCAAGGGGGTGTACAGAAAGAGACCTCACCACTGAGGCAGTGATGCTGCCTCCACGTAAGAAATGCTGCGTTTGCAGAAAGAGAAACATATTTTCCAGAGCACAGGGAGCACAAAACATCATGTGAGGCTGCACTGCCAAGCTGTAATTACTGCAGCAACAAGTCCAGGCAGCTCCTTCTCGCCTTTGCTCGCTGCTGTTCCTTTTCCCTGTTTGCAGGCACTCCCTTTTGTCTCTGGGGCATGCATTTAAAAAAAAAAAAAAAGAAGAAGTTTGGAGACTTGGAATGCATCTGTCTAATTTAATTACAACCTGTTTTGTTTTCTCTTGGCTGGCATGGGGGTTGGGAGAGCAAACCTGTTTGGGACACTGGGATCCAGTTTTCTCTCCTCCCTCTCCCTTGTGCATTTTTAACGGGGTGGGAGAAGCTGAATTGAGGGGTGCAAGGGGAGAAAGCGGCTGTGAGAGTGCATTCATCAGGCTCCTATTAGCAGCAGTGAATCCAAGGCAGTGGGGTGTTCTCTGTCCTTCTGCCAGAAGTCAGATCTGAAACTGGTCACTGCTGGGAGCACGTGGTCTGAGCCAAAAGGCCAAGTGCTAAAACCTCCACCGCCACAGGACAGCCCACACTCATGCTTTGCAAACACCTACTGTGGGGTTCAGAGCATGTGGCAGCTGCAGTGAGGCCTCATTCCATAACGCTCCTGCAGGCTTCAAGCTCTGGAGAGCAGGGGACAGGTGCACGGTGTGTTAGGGTGTGAAAGTCGATGACTAATGGACAGTGCTAAGAGACAAAAGCAACTCCAGGAGCTGAAGGGAGGATCCTCTGCCCTCAGGTAGGATCCTAAGGTGGGGGTAGAGGAAGGCAGAGCTGCAGGTGGGAGGAGAGGGAAGAGCAGATTAGGAAGGCTCCTTCCAGCTGATCACCTGTTACACTGTTCACTGTTGATGGTGCTCTTGTTTCAGCCCAGGCCTGGGTCTGGCTGGGAAGGCCTTACTCTGGGACTTGCCTCTGTGGCTAATCAGGTCCCTAACCTTCTTGTCTGGCTTTCTTCCCTTTGCACCAGGTGTCGTGCCACAGAGTGCCCCGCCTGTTCCCACTGCCTCCCGGTTCCATTTCCCACCTTTGGACAGCCACTCCCCCACCGAGGATGCCCAGCCCAGCCGGTTTCCCACAGGGCCCCTGGTGCCATCTGGCCAAGAACCTTTGAGCGACAGCGGCGAGAGGAAGCCCGATGTGCCTGAGCTGGAGGACGGCTCCTCTGACTGGCGGCGTGGCATGGATCTCATGGCACCTCGCAACGCAGTGGGCCCCGGCGGCATCAACCCTCAGAAACGCAAGCCAGAGATCATGCTGCCTCTCTTCACAAGGCCTGGGATGTACCCGGATCCTCACAGCCCTTTTGCCGTATCCCCTCTACCGGGGCGTGGCGGGGTGTTGAATGTCCCGATCTCGCCTGCCATGTCCCTGACTCCGACCCTCTTCTCCTATAGCCCTTCTCCAGGTCTCAGCCCTTTCGCAGGCAGCAGCTGCTTTTCTTTCAACCCTGAGGAGATGAAACACTACCTGCATTCACAAGCCTGCTCTGTCTTCAACTACCACCTGAGCCCACGGACTTTCCCTCGCTATCCAGGGCTCATGGTCCCACCACTACAGTGCCAAATGCCTCCAGAGGAGCAAACCCAGTTCCCCATCAAGCTGCAACCTCCTCCTGTCGGACGCAAAAACAGGGAGAGACTGGAAAGCACTGAGGAGTCAGCTGCCCCCCAGCTTGCTACCCCTTCCCCTAGGGTGAAGATTGAGCCTACGGTGGACAAGGAGCTGGAAAGCGAAGAGCTTCCAGCAAAAGGGAAAGACAAAGCCGAGAGGGAGGAAGGATCTGGCATGGCAATGCATAATGCCACCCTGGAAGGAGAGAAGGGGGCTATCTTTGCCAGGCCTGCTGCCCCGTCCTGGCCCCTGGCCCCACCAGCTTCCACCCAGGTAAATGTCTCAGCTGAAGAGTCCCAAGAACAAGGGGATAGTGGTGGAGAGAAGCCATCCAGAGAGCCAGTAGGAGAAACCGGGACCCAGGAGAAGAGAGAGGATGCCCTGATGCCACCCAAACTGCGTCTCAAGCGCCGTTGGAATGGTGACCGCCAGCCGGAAGCCACCGAGGAGCGCCAGAATGGGAAGGTCCACTGGAACGGTGCGCTGGGTGCCCCACACCTGGTGGCAGAACCCAAGGCAGTGATTGCCACGGCCACGTCCGACACCTAGGACCCAGGAGTGCTGCCGTCCACTTGGACCGACAGCCGTGTATTTATGTAGCGAGATTGCAGAGCGGGGGTGGGGGCGGGGTGGGGA